GCCGCCCAGACAAAGAGCCCGGCGGCTCCCCGGGCGGCGGGCGCCGAGGCCCGACCGCGCCTGCCTCTCTCCGGCCGCCTGCCCGCCGCGCCCCCGCCGCCCCGAGCCCGACCCCATCCCCGCTCCGGGGCCGCCGCTCGGGACCGGCCTGGCGGGGAGGCCGCGGCGCGCCGGGGCCGAGGAGGGGGCGGCGGCCGCCACCATGTCTGCCCGCCCCTCCCAGAAGCGGGGTGCCCAGCGGACAAAGCGCGGCGGCGGCGCGGGCGGAGCGGTCGCCCAGGCCGACCCCGCCGACCCCCGCGGAATAAGCGGGGCCAGGAGCCCCGGAAACCCGGCGCCTTAATGCAATAAACAGGAAATCGCGGGGATGATCTGGGTTCCGGGGGAAGTGGAATTATTTTTTACCAGCGAAGAGATCAACTTCCACATCCGGTGGTAACAGGGCCCTACACAGACCCGCACTGACCTGGAAAAGCTTCGGGAGCGGCGACGGGGGAGCAGCAGGAGGTGGTGCGGGGACCCGAGGCGCCTCGTACCCGGCCGGGCTGACGCGGCCCCGCTACACACAAAGCGCTTCAGCTGCACAGGGCGCTATTTTCCGAAAATGCCGCGTCTGGTCGGCGCCCAAAATCCCCACCGAAAAGTCCCCCGTGCTGCGCGCGGAGGGACACATGGTGTGCGAGTGAGTCAAAGCTCCCAGCATCCCTCCCGGACCCGGCCCTCGTCAGCCCCTCGCCTGAGCCTTTCCGCCCCTATCCTAGTCAGCAGACCCCTCTCCCACCCACTCCCGGACCCCATGCCGGTGGAAGAAGGGGACGAGATGGGCTGATTTTCCTTTTTAACGGAGGGGAGGGAAATATGCCATTTGTAGAGCTTAAGCCACACAAAGAAAGCGGCGGAATGATCCGCTCTCGGCGACCGCAAGTCCCGGCTCGCCCGGCGCCTGCGCGGCACGGGGGTGGAGGCTGCGGCCGGCCATGTGCGCGGCGGAGCGGACCCGCGGCCGCCCAGCCTTCCCGCCTCTTTCTGCGGGCGTAGGAGTTGGGGCGCTAAAGTGCGGGCGCTAACCTCCGTGTCTCCCGGACGTGACCGCCGAGAGACCGGGAATCCGGACTCCTTCGAGACTAAGCTGAGCCGCCTAGCCGAGTCCTGGGAGACGGAAGGGCGGCCGGGAGGCTAGGATTTAACCTAAAGTGGCCCTAGGTTCAACTAGGCAGACGGGGACAGGAGTCGCTGTAGAAGTACAAGGGAAGAAGGATGGTCGTTCTCCACGTCCCATAACCTGAGCAGTCAGGTTTATAACGAAGATGTACATAGTCCTGTAGCATTTTTATTCCCTTAGCCTTCTCGTGCTGTCTCGTGCTTCGTAGACCCCAGTAGGTGCTCGTTGTATCTTCCCTTGGATTACTGTTTTTTCATGACTAGAATGTCAAGATTTTTGTTGTCTTTTAGAAAGTAGCAAAAGTTTATTTGGAGATGGGGCTTTGCAAAGTAAAAGCCTTAGGAATTTAATTTACATGGGATGATTTGCTAACGTACCCAACACACTGATCCGGTTTTAACAGAAGAGCCTAGGAATGACTTTCCCCGCCTGCTAACCGTGCGACTTTTGGCATCCTATGTATAGGAGTTGAGAAAATCTGAGACAGCGCCCAGAGTTTAATCCAGGAGAGCTGACAAGCTTAAATCCATCTTGCCCTCTGATTTTGTGTGGCCTCAGATAAGTACTCTTTCTGTCTCCACTTATCCTTTTGTAGTATTGATGTAGTAAAGATTTGCAAAGTGTTTGTGTAACTTTTTAAAGCATTGTGCCTAAAATAGAAGCAAAGTGAATGGCACAGGAGCCATATTCTGTGTTTTCTTTTGATCTAAGGTTCATTGCTTCAGTTGATAAAAATTTGAAGTTTTATGTCATATGCTTTTCTTTAACATTGAGGCAACATTCAGCTGATTGCTGTAGAATCCTTGCCCTCACTGATCTCACGCTGTAGAATGCAGACAAGTAAATAGGCATCATCAGTAGTATAATGAGGGTAGACTGCTGAATACTGTGAAGTCTCGTACGGGTGGAATCCCCTACTCACCTGGGAGGAATGGAAAGGGACTGGAGAAGCAATTAGCTTTAATAAGGAAATTGGGGAAGGGCCTTCCAAACAGAGGAAGCAGTAAGTGCAAAGGTTAGAAGGCAAACTCCAGAGAGGTTGTTGGGTGAAGACCATAATGCTATTTAGGAGAACCTAGAGATGTTCCTGAAGAGATCTAGTTGAAGGCCTTGAACGCCGTGTGCAGAAATTAGCTTTTGAAAGCTAAGAGGAAGCCACTGAAAGATTTTAAGTAGAAGCAGCATGGAATTGGATTTGCATTTTAGGCAGATCACCATTATACAGAAATCAGAGGCATGGAAAACAGTTTGGAGAAAACAGTAATCTGTGAGAGAGTAATGACTTGGACTGAGAGAGTGGCAAATAGGAGTGAAGAATAGGACCAAAGTGGTTATTGAGAGCTTGGTGATTTGGTTGACTGAATAAGGGATGACTGAGAGGGAGATGTCAAAGATGACTCCCAAGTTTGTTGGGGGAGCAGCTGGGAGGGCGGTAATGTCTTCGTTGAGATTAGAAACAAGAGAAGAGGCATACATGTTAGGGAAGGAAGAAGGTTCTCTTTTGACCATGTAGTATTTGAAGTGCTTGTGAGCTAACCAAGCAGATATGTGTAGTAGGCAATTAGGTATTCATTCATTTAAGTTGTTTTAAGAACACTGGTCTGTTCTGCACACTGGAACAGATTAAACAGCAACAAGAGCAGTAAGGTTCCTGCTCCTGTTTCTAGTGGAGGGAACAGACTAAACAAGTTTTACCAAAAAAATGAGAATATTACATAATATGTTCTGTGAAGAAACTAAAAGGGTATTTGGATAAAGCCTTTCTTTGGGGAAGAGAACAGGCACATTTTTGGTTGTTGGTCAGAGATGGCCTCACTGAGAAGGTATTCACTAAGACCTAAATGGGAATGAGTTAAAAGCAGTATTCAAGATCAGATGGACTATCAGGGCAACACCTAAGGCGAGAGTTTGTTTTGTTTAGCAAGGAGGGCGTTGTGGATAGTCTAGAGAGCAAAGAAGGGAATGGTAGAAGATGAAGTCTTGTAGCCTTGGTAAGTTTAAGTGCTCTAGAAGCCCCTGAAAGCTTTTAAGGAATGGAGTAACATGAATAGTAGCAGGAGAGGTAAAATGGATGGATTGAAGATCTATGTTGTGATTAGGCCCAGCTTGTATTGCTGAAGAATCAAACATGAGTGAGGGAAAGGGAGCAATCAAGAATGATTCCTAGGTTTGGGGCATGGTTGTCTAGGCCAGCAGTGTCCAATGTAAATATAACACGAGCCACATACGTAATTTTATAGTACTAACGTTTACAAAGTAAAAAACAAAAGTTGAAATTAATTTTAATACTGTGTTTTATTTAACTCAGTATATCCAAAATAGTATCATTTCAAATGTGATGAATATTTAAAAGTATTGGGCTAGCCCTGGTGGCCCAATGGTTAAGTTCAGTGTGCTCCGCTTCAGTGGGCTGGGTTCAGTTCCCAGGCATGGACCTACAGCACTGTCTGTCAGTGGCCGTGCTGTGGCGGCTCACATTACAGAAAAAAAAGAGGAAGATTGGCAACAGATGTTAGCTCAGGGCGAATCTTCCTCAGAAAAAAAATATATATAGATTGAAAAGTATTAAACATTTTTAAATGTTTTACATTCTTTTTCTCATTACTAAGTAAGTGTTTGAAATGTGTGTATTTTACACTTAGAGCATATCTCAATACTTGATTTCATAAAATTTACAATTAAAAAGTAGATTTCACATACTCAGGTCTTTCCAAACATAGTTAAAAGTTTTTCCAGTAATTGAGTTATGTATCAGATTTTTAATTTAATTTAATTTTTTTTTAAGATGTTATTTTTCCTTTTTCTCCCAAAACCCCCTGCCCCCCAGTACATAGTTGTGTATTTTTAGTTGTGGGTCCTTCTAGTTGTGGCATGTGGGACGCCACCTCAGCATGGCTTGATGAGCTGTGCCATGTCTGCACCCAGGCTGGTGAAACAGGCGAAACCCTGGGCCACCGAAGCAGAGCGCGCAAACTTAACCACTCGGCCACAGGGCCAGCCCCTATTTAATTTTAAATTAAAGTTAAGATTAAAATTTCATTTGCTAAATTAGCCATATTTCAAGTGGTCAATAGCCACATGTGACTGGTTGCTCCTATATTGGACAGTACACTCTAGTGGAATAGAGTACTGGAAAATTAGATTTAAAAAGTTGTGTGAAACCAGGCTGTAAAGGATTGGGATTTTACCCTAGAGGCAAGGGAAGCAGAGGATGGTTTTTGAAGCAGGAAGTGACACAACTTTGTGCTTGAGGCTAGAAAAAGGCCACTAGGTGGCCAACTGGTGACTCAGGAACAAGAGCAACCCTTCAGTTGAGTCCACACATTTTAGGCTCTGACCTCAGCCCTTCAGAATCAGAAGTCTGATTTTTGTCAATGCTCTAGAGCAGTGCCACAAAAAGTATGGTCCACAGGCCAGTGCCAGTCTGCATGCCCTTTGTTATTGGTCCATGGCAAGGTATTTACAGAAATTGAGAGTAAGAATTTTAAGAGTTTTATAGCAATTTAACATTAATTTTATGTCTGTGGATCTAAGAAAAATTTTGGTCTCATTTGTTGTATATGTTTTTTTTAATTTCCCTTTCCTAGTAATTTATTTTCATATTTTATAAAATTGTCTATGATCTTTCACCACAGATAATTTTTGAAGCACTGTTCTACAGGCACTCAGGTGAAGGCAGTCAGAGGGACCACATTCTCAGAAGACTTACCTAAATCCAAAGGCCTTTTCTCACTTTATAGTTAGCACTATAGTGACTAAGAGAAGAATGGACTCTGCTCAGTTTCTCCCTCCATATAAAAA